TGGATTTTTTTTTTTTTTGGTGTTCTGTGTCCAAATGTTCACTTATTAGCTTGACCACAATCATAAGTATTTCTAATATTTAGTGTCTGTGAAGATATGAGCAAATAGGCTTTCTCATCTACTAATGGGAGGAATGTAAAGTTGTTTAACTTTTTTACGGGGCACTTTGATACTTCCTATTAAAATTTTAAATGCATATATCATATGACATTCACCCTCTCCTAGAAATTTATCCTAATAAAACAAACACACACACACATGTATATAACAGTATATGTAAAGGAAGAGCATTACTCATAATAGCAAACTGAGAATATTCTAGATTTCCTAAGCGGTTAAATAAATTTTTACAGATTCACAAAATATAATACCATTAAGGACCAAATTCAGCATATGTAAATGTACTGATTTTGTAAACACGTAGGAAGTAAGTTGCAAAACAATATATGTCCACTTTTGTTTTTTAAAAAAAATGTGTGTGTGTGTGTGTGTGTGTTTAGACAAAGGAAATGTCCAAGATATTGACAGTGATTATACTTAGGAATTAAATTAGAGGGAGAACAGGTAGGTTTTCACTCTTACTGTTTTTAGGGGAAGGAAAAGACAGAAAAAAGAGAGATGAGATTATGGATTTTTGATTTTTTTTCTTTTTTTTTGGTGTTCTGTGTCCAAATTTTCAAGTGAATGAATGTTTTACTTTTGGTATCAGGAAAATAAAATAAACAAAATTTCATGAATCATTTCACCTCCCCAAACTGTAGAATGTTTAGCAGACCAGGTTACATAATAGAAAGAACCCCAAAATGGAGTCCAAACACCCAAATTGAGATAGAATAACATTCATTGATTTTTATGTCTTTTGTGTTTATTATTAAGGTAATATAATGAAATTACAGAAAATGAGAAGAGGAAAATCACCTACTGTTATATCAGTCTTACCCAGGGAGCATCTGGTGATGCCTGGAAACATTTTTGGTTGTCAGAATTGGGCTGGTTGATGGAGGGTTGCTATTAGTATACACGGGTAGAGGCCAAGGGTGCCACCAAACATCCCACAGTGCACAGGCCAGCCTCCCACAGCAAATACATATAGCCCAAAATGTCAATAGTGCCAAGGCTAGGAAACCTTGTCACCATTGTGAGCATTTCAGTATATATCTTTCAGTCCTTTTCTCTGCAATCTTTTAAAAATTAATTGTAACCTTATACATTTAATACCCATTTGTTACATTTAAGCTTATGACATAAATATTGTCCATTTTACTGCATGATATTCATAAGCATCTAATTTAACAGTTCCATATTCCATAATATTTAATTCCTCTATTGTTAGGTATCAGATTGTTGCCAGTTTTTAAAATATCATAAGTATTTGTGTGTTCAGCGAATATTTGTTGAGTGCCTACTGTGTGCCAGGCCCCAGGCTAGGCCTTGAGGATAGATTTCCCCAAATAATATTGTTGATCAAAGAAAAAGAACATTTTTCTGGCTCTTCACAGATGTAGATAATTGGTACCATTACATTCTGTTTTCACCCATAATTGGGTATTGTTTAAAAAAAAAAATTTTTTTTTACTAATTTGAAAGATCTGACCATTTTTTGGTCTGTTTATGTCACTGGTTTCTTATCAACCTCTATGAGCCCTGTATATTAAAAAAGGTAAGTAAAATAAAATGAGTCATCATCCTCTTAATAGGGTTATGTACATATTTCTTATTTTTCTCCTTTCCATCCATCCTGCAGATGGGGAATAGTGATGACATCAGGTCTGTGAGGTCACGAAGTTTGCTAAAATGGGGCTGCAGCATCTATCGGACTATCTTTTCCTTGGGCCAGAGTTAATTGTACAGTTATAAAATATTAATGTGATATTTGATATTTTATAATTATTGTATTATAAACACAAATACACTTACTAGGCAGAAGAAAACTTAAGATACCCCTAATCTCAAGCAAAGCATTATAACTATATGTGAGCAAAACAAAGAGACATTAAATCTAGTCATGGATTACAACTAATTTTGCCAATGTTTATGGTCTACCCTGGTGGAGTTCTTATCCTTTAATGTATTTAGTTAAAATTTTTAGGAGTAATAAAGGTTTCCTGGAAAGTGACTGATTAGATCCAATATTTACCTAATTTCTCATCAAACCCTCTCCTCCACAGTTCCGTTTCCTTGGAGTACAGCTGTCATTAGTGAGGGACAAAAAGGCAGAATACAAAGATCATGTAAATACACATGGTCTTTAACCTCTAAACCTCACATCAGGGCAATTGGTCTAAGAGAAGAAGACTGACATCTCCTTCTTCAGGTAAGAATTATGACCATCGGTGAATTCCCGTATCCGAATGGAGACATTCAAAGAGCAATGAAATGTAAACTGGGGAAGAAGTGATGGCTCATTCAGGTTGGGGAAGTGGGTTTGTCCCTGGGGGAAGCCCAGTATAATACTCTGGAACTGATACTACTTCTCATCTTCCAAGGGTAGGATGGGTAGGAGGAAGAGATAGAGAAAAAGTTAAGAGGCCGGGTGCAGTGGCTCACATCTGCAATGCCAGCACTTTGGGAGGCCAAGGCAGGCGGATCACAAGGTCAGGAGCTTGAGACCAGCCTGGCCAATATGGTGAAACCCTGTCTCTACTAAAAATACAAAAATTAGCCCGGCATAGTGGCGGGTGCCTGTAGTCCCAGTTACTCAGGAAGCTGAGGCAAGAGAATTGCTTGAACCCAGGAGGCAAAGGTTGCAGTGAACCAAGATCACACCACTGTACTCCAGCCTGGGCGATAGAGTGAGGCTTGGTCTCAAAAAAAAAAAAAAAAAAAAAAAAAAAAAGGTTAAGTTTTCTTTCTCAAAAGTAAGAGCAAGAGGCCCATATGGTGACTCACACCTGTAATCCCAGCACTTCTGGAGCCTGAGGCGGGAGGATCACCAGAGGCTATGAGTTCAAGACCAGCCTGAGCAACACAATAGCCCCATCTCTACAAAGAAAAAAAAATTTTTTTAAGTGGGATCAAGGATTAAGAGAGTTGATTTATTAAGGCTCTACTAAGTGATCAAACGTTATTAAACTCTATTAAAACCCATGCCCAACCTCCTTCTCAGTCACACTGAGACACTCTTGTACATTTTCCACATGGGGTTTCAATTCCCCACAGTATTTCTGTGACTTCCTTGAAGACCACACTCTAACTGCTGACATGTGGCCTCTGCCTACCTGCTTCTACTGAGAAAGGCTAAGTTGTTCTTCAGAGTATCATAGTTCTTCTTAAATACTGTTGACAACTATCATTGTCAACTGATACATCCTTTCTTGAAAGCATTTTCAGTTTTCATCAAAAGGCCTTTAAAATATTCAGTGTTTGACTAAGTAGTTACACTTCTAAGTTTACGTGAAGGAAATAATCAGCAATGTTCCAGAAATATACATGCAATGATGTTCAGTGAATGGCTAAGACAGAACCATTGTAAATAACCTTTGTGTCCAACAGTGAGGAATTCATTTCATTTAGTTACCCAGCTTAATCGAATGCAGCAATAAACACATTTTTAGAAGATTATTTAATTCATAGAAACGTATCCACAGTAAATTTTTTTCAAGTATTAAAAAAACGAGGTAGAACAATGGTACTTTTACTCCTTGTGTTATGAGACAAACCCATACTGAACTTTGACATAGGCCAAGGTCAATGTGTCTAAGACAAGTTTTGTTGTACTATTTTTATTCTTAGGCTCCTCCACTGCTCTTTTAGGACTCCTTTGAGTTCTCAGAATGGACAGAGCAAAGAACTTGCGTTCAGGGGTCCTGGACCTGCTTAGCACGGGAAGGGACCTTAGGAGATGCTGCAGCTGGGATGATTTACACAAGTCATATTACTAGCAAGCAGCTGAGGGTGGACTAGGACCTGTGTCCAGACCTCCAGCTTAGCATCAGAGCCATAATCTGAACACACAGTCGCATAAGAATGACTACCTACCTTACTTATTTTTAGAGGTATAAATTATTTTTAGAGCAAAACTGAATCGCGTCTGGAGTAGGGCCAGATACGTTGCCTGTTCTTATTAACCCCAACAGGTAATTGGCTCTACTGCCCCCTAGACCATCGCGTTCCCTTTCCCTCCTCCTCTCTCCATCCCGAAGAAAGGGCGTAGAGACCCTCCGTCCTAAAGTGCCCAGCGAGCCAGCCAGAGATGCTGGACTGTGGGCACCCGCGGAGGAACAACGCACCCTACCTGCGGCCGGAGAGAAGCGCGCCTGGTGCGGAGCCTCGGGAAGCTGCGCGGGACTGGGCTGCACGGGGCTTGTCAGCTGCTCATCATCGCGCCCGGCCGGCAGGCAGCGTCCCGCCCACCTCTGCCCAAGGCAGTAAATGTAGTATGCCTTTGCGGAGAATTGGACTTCCCCGACCTTCGGTGGAAACTTTCAGTTTGGGTAGCTAGCGCTGTGTCCAACGTTGTATCCAGAATTGTTTTAGTTTGGGTAGGACACTGTGTCCTAGAAATAAAGCTATGTAGATAGAAATGAAACAGAAAGTGAAACCTATCAGTCCAGTTTTCTTGTAAATGAGGTTTTCAACCAGGAAGATTGGATGATTAAAGCAAATCCACATTTAGCTTGTTATTAATATAAACAAATTTACAACAAGCCAACATCTGAACCACTTTGATTTTACCTTCAGAGGGGTAACAGCCTAATTTCTGCCTTGAGATTTTCCCCCTTTCTGATAAAAGCCTCTTCAAAGTGACTGAACATCTTGACATAACTTGATATAGACAACATATAGAAAGTCAACAGCAGACCTATATGGCTTTGGTTTTTATTCTAGAAAGTAGGTGTGCATGTGTATGGGTGTATAATAGGAAATATATTTTTAAATCGTGGATTCTGTGACTTCCTCAAAGTTCCTCGACATAGTGAAACTTCATTTGCTTTGTCATTAAAAGAACTTCCCATCCCGAGCTACATCTTTTAAGAATGCTTATCGTCCCCGCTATTCTTCCACCCTAGGGATTCAGGCTGGGGAAGCCTATTCTAGGCGAGGGTTAAGAAAACTATTCTGAAAGCTTTGGGTTAGTGAATGGGCAAGCTGAAACCACGCGGTTCACACAGAAGATGGTGTCATGATTTACTTAAGTATTATCCCCTGCTGAACTTCAAGGTGCTCCCTTTTCTGAAACTCCTGACCTCAAGTGATCCACCGAAGTGCTGGGATTACGGCTTGAGCCACTGTGCATGCGTGCTCCCTTTTCTTTCTTATTCTCTTTTTCTAAATTGAGAAATTGAATTCTTCATTGTTTGCCTTTCCTGCTTATTCATTTCAGCTACAGTTCAAATACTACATAATGAATGAGTATTGAGATGGCCCTTGCATTGGTTATAACATTTGCTTCCCAAATAAGAATTTTCACATTCTGATCATGTCACAGATTTTTATTTTTATCCGAAATATTGGGGATGACACTGCTTTGATTTGGCAGGAGTGTGGATTTTTCTTTGCAATAGAGTTTGTACCCAGTTCAGATGCTCTTTCTTTCAAATCGCTTTTGAGGTCACATAGTAGAATAGAGCAGTTTTCCCAGCTTTGGTGACTATGACCTCTAGTAAAATGTAGACATTATGTGGCAATCCAGTTTACAGATACTGCTTATGTATAGTCTATGTATTACACACACATGTACAAACAAGTTTCACGAAAAAAATACTTAGACCTACTATCTGCAATACCCTCTAGTTATTTTTATTTAGTGTTTTATTTTTCTAAAAATGGTCAAGATCCAGGGAATAAACTTCATGATCTGCTAGTTCTTCATACTCTTGAGGTCTGAAAAAAAACTGGCTCTAGAGCCATCTACCACTAACTAGCTGGGTTAACTTGGGCAAATAATTTACTGAGTAGCCAGATTAAATCATTTCCTCCTAGATGGCCTGGATGATCTATGGATAATTTTTAAAACTGAGGATGGGTGTTTTGTTTCTGTTTATTTTATGAAAGCAGTGTTCAGGGTCTACCTAAATGATCAACAGTGAGGCAAACGGAATTTGCCTTTCTCTAAAGTTGTTGATGGGAATTGAGAGTATTTACTCAGTTTGCTACTCAGTGATTTGCATATTACTAATGTGAGGATTTGTGTTTTGTTCATCTTTCCCACCTGTTTCTACCCTTCAACCATTCATTTTCCCATACAATTGATCAACCATCCAGAGATTGAAAAACAGGATGTGTTTAGAAAAAGAGAAATCTTATCACCTCAAAAAAATATGTAAAGCAAAACAAATGGTTAATGAATGGGGGGAGAAGTCCTGAAACTCTATGTGAGTTTTTTTATTTGGTCAAAATGGATGGAGAAGTGCTGAGCTAGGAGAAGAGCAGTGGGGAGCCAGGGCTGAAGAGCTAGATACTTTGGTCATCTTGAATATCAACACTTCCCATTCATACAACAGCTACTCTATTCATTTTTAGAGATATAAATTAATCATTGCCAATATGCTGTTTCTCAGAGTGTCTTGAGGATTACTTGCATTACACTTGATTTGGGCTTTGTATTTAAAATACAGATTCCAGGGTTCTGCCTGGAATACAAACCTGGGGGCAGGGTCTTAGGGATCAACATTTTAACATTGTCCTCAGGTGAGTCATGTTCATATTGAAGTTTTGAAAACTAGTGACTTAATATTTAAGGGAAAAAATAAGCAAAGAGTTTTTGCAAATACAGCTGTAACTTCCTTTCTTCCATTAAATTTGGCTGATTTATCAATACCATCCTTCCTTCTGCCTCTGTCTGCCCCACTTGCTGCTTTTGCTTCTAAATAAAGAGACGATCCTCATTTGTGCTGATCTCAGGAGGACTGATTTCAAGGTCTTACAAGTGGACCTGCAGTGATATGAGCAAATTCCTGTGAAGGAGCAATTTCCAGTAAATGTTCTTGATCTTCAAAAGCAGTATATACTAAAGAGACTCAAAACAAAGACGCTGACAAACTGCTTTGTCTGCACTGAATATTTTTAAATGTATTTAAAAATATTAAATATTTTTGTCATAGATTCACATCCTGTATGTATCTCACATCAAGCAGACTTCATGGAATAGAATACTTTGTTCTGGTTACACAAAACAATGGTTTAAATGACAGGGGTAATTAACATGTGGGTCACCAGAGAGTAGCAACTGTCCTCATCTGACACCCACAATCAAATGCTTCCCTCCCTCACCCTGCATCTCTTTCCTTCCTATCCTGAGCTGGAAAAGATCTGGGCAGGTGAAGAGCTCTTGCCTTCAAAGGGTAGATCCCATGCCACAGATACTTTAAAACAAAGATGAGGCCTCCAATAATTCCCCCTATCCACAATGAGTTCACAAACCCAGACATAAATAGTTAAGGCCTGGATAAATGCTGTGGGAGTTTGGGAACACTGTGTGGTAAATATTTTAATTCCGGGGAATCTCAATAAGTCACCAGAATGCCACTAAAAATAAAGTTTACAATTGAGAGATACTCTTCAGGAGATCCTGGAAATTATTTCATTGACTTAATATTCTAGAACTAATAACATAAGTGAGTGTCACACAAATGAAATAGTCACCTTGTGAATCATTTCCTTTGGTAATCATACCTAGGTGAACTGGATAAAGAATTTAATTAACACTTATTTTTGTAGGCTCATCATAAAAGAATGAGAAATAATTTTTTTCTTTTCCCCACTATTTCCTTGAAAGGACAGGAAGACCTTTCTGTTCTGAGAGAGATACGTTCCAAGCAGAAATTAATAAATAACAATTTCAGATACTGAAAATTCCTATAAAAGAAAAAAGAAAACAAGTCAGGGTAATATGGTGAAGTGCACAGGTGCGAGGTTTCTTTAGTTATCGTGGTCATGGAATGCATAAGAGGTGATATCTGAGAAATGAATCCATGAAGATAACCATGGAAAGATCTGCCAAAAGAGCCTATTTGGCCGGGGGAAGAAACACGAGCAAAGACTATAAGGGTGGAACAAGCTTGGCAAGTTCCAAGGATGGAAAGAAGATAATTGTGGCTAGAGGATAGAGTAAGGGAGAGGTATGGTGGATCAAATTATATCATGAAGAGCCTTGAGGACTAAGGGGAGAGGTTGGATTCTACTTGCAATGAAAAGCCACCAGATGGTTTAAAGCAGGGTAGTTGCCTGATGAATGTTCTAAAAATACAACTCTAGCTATGGTATGAAGAATGGAATGTAGAATGGCCTTACGTTCATGGAGGCAGGAAAGTCTGTAGGAACTGTTTCTGTAGACCACGTTCAAAATATAATTTGAAAGTAGAACCAATAGTACTTATTGAGGGATATTAGTAGTAAGGGATAAAAGGAAATCAAGGGATATACACACATAGTTGTATATATTTATATGCATTACATATATACTTGTATATATTTATATACAATAAATATATATTTGTATGTATTTAGTATGCTTTTCCAGAGTAGGATACTATAGCCAGTTTCATATTCTGTGCATTCTCTAAATTAAGGAAGTTTGAAAACAAAACAGAAACTTCCTTGGAAAATGAACTACTGGAAATTAGTCTAAACCAATCAAGACACTCATGATTTCTAAAGAAGAAATTACAGTCTTTTCTGGAAATGGAGAAGTTGGTGGCAATATGTTGGCAGTGTTTCAAAGCCATGCTCTTGAGGCTTGCCATTAACCAGGCTCCAGTTACTTTGGAGAAATTCCCAAGAAGGGCACTTCTTGTCAGGGACAAGTGCAAAGGGCTCTGGGTTGTGGTTAGAGCATTCTTTTAACAAGTACAAAGAAGGAAAGCTTCAGAGGCTGAGAAATGCCATCAGGTGAGGCATCAGCACTTAGGTAAGTGTGTGAACTCTGGACATAAACTGTTTTACTTCCTTACAGAATATGACTGGGTGGAGATAAATGGAAAAGCGTAGGTTTAATTCATGCTTGTGTATGAACAAGCCAAATGGAAATGTGTGAATTATAGACTAGAGTTATAAACATTTCACAACCCCATGTAAAGGCCTCCAACCCAGAAGTTCTTGCTGATTTTGTGCTAATCAGAGCTGAAAAAGCAAAAGAGGGATACGGTAGCATTTTCGGAGTAAGATCGAATAATGACATTCCTGGGGAGTCAAACAATGTACACATACCTCTACCCCGTGAAGACCAACTCTCCCAAGGCAGGGTTCCAGGGGCTAGAGATGAGGAGTCTCTCCAAACCCAGTAAGGGCTAAGTTAAGTTTGGATTGGAAAAGGTGAGCTTATTTTACTTCTGGTGTAGAAAACTTGGTCTCAAGCAAAATCACTGGGTATCCTTTACCCTGTATTTCACATACTCCAATAGTTATGGCAATGGCAATAACCCTCATTTGCTTGGTTTTTGTGAAAAGGGTAATTAATGCCTTCTGTGACTACAAACACTTTAACACAGTTAACTCTTCCTTTTTCATGTGTTGTTGGGTGGCAAGAGGAAGATGGAGACATGACATGTGAAAGAATACATTCTAACATTGACACGTTACCTGTTATCAGGTTTGTTTCGAAGAACTCTGATGGACACCACTAGGCCAAGCTATCCAGCACTTGAGGGATACTTACCACAGAAGGAGGAGAAAAGAAAGAAGACTGAGGTCCAGGTGTGTGTGTGTGTGAGAGAGAGAGAGAGAGAGAGAGTATGTCCC